GCAATGTCGCAGGTATATTAGAGGATAGAAGAAAGGTGACATCCCCCTCTCCTCTCCCTCCGGCTGTCGCAGGTGTACAATCATCGAGGAAAGGTGACCTCCTTCTCCCTCCTCCCCCTCTCCCCGGCGTCGCATGTGTAAGAGGATGGAGGAAAGGTGACCCTCCCCTATTGGATAAAACCTCAGATGGATAGAATAATTCCAGATGAAAACCAGAAACAACCATTGTAGAAATACTGTGGCAAACTGATCATTTCGTCAGTACCTTCCAGGCAGATGAAAGTCAGAGACGGCCCATGTGGAAATACTGTGGAAATACTGTGGAAATACTGTGGAAATACTGTAGAAATACTGTGTAAATACTGTGAAAATACTGTGGAAATACTGTGGAAATACTGTGGAAATACTGTGGAAATACTGTGGAAATACTGTGGAAATACTGTGGAAATACTGTGGAAATACTGTGAAAATACTGCGGACAAACGTGTAATTTCGTGTATCGCATCGTGAAATGTGACCGTGCCACGTGCGAAAGATTCCGACAGTAAGAACGAGCGAAAAGAACTTGCTATTGCTAAGTGCAGATCTAGGAGAGCGGACCAAGAATTAAATTCTTAATAAAGTCTTAGACACTATCAGTATACAGATATATGTATATATATATATATATATATATACATATGCGTGTGTGCGTTTATACACTGCATTATACATTACCACGCTGCGCACACGCCTCTAACGACATCATGAGGGGATGGAAGGGAGGGAGGGAGGCTTGTACAACATCAGATGGGGTTTTAATTGAGCAAGAGAGAAGAGGGGGAGGGGGAGGGACGTGACATACATATACATGCGAGCTGCGCCGGCTCTTCTTCATCTTCTTCTTCTCATGCATACATAGTCATCACCCATATGCTAATCCCTCCATATGCTGCCACCGCAGTTCAAACGGAATTTTATGCAAATAAAACGACGCACCCAGAGCCAAACGAATTCGTGTAGCGGGCGGTTTGGTTTGCGTGCGTGCATGCGTGTGAGTGTGCGTGGGTGCGTGAGTGTGTGGGTGTGTGTGTGTGTGTGTGAGTGTTTGGTGTGTGTGTGTGTGTGTGTGTGTGTGTGTGTGTGTGCGAGCGTGCGTGCGTGCGTGCGTG